AGATTGTCTGGGTGCAACCGTGTTAGTGATGGTAGCATAGTCGGGTTTGTAAGAAAGATATAACAAAGAAGAAGCGATAGAAAAATAAAATAAAAAAACGAACATCTATTTCTGTACCTAATACTGGTCAAAATATACCCGATTTGGCCTGTTTTGGGAATATTTTTGAGAAAATATTTTGGGATTTTTTTTGAGAATTCTCGACAAAATTCTCAAAACCATCTAATATTAGTGTCTTGGTTTTAGTGTGTGACCCCCAAGTGTCTTGGTTTTAGTGTGATTCACTACTATACTGCTTTTAGTATAGGGGGCGCGACATGGATCGTTGAGTAGAGGGGGGGGTTGGATGAGGGCCCTACTGTTGCTTGCTTTGCCCCGCAAGTGTCTTGGTTTTAGTGTGGTTCCCCCAAGTGTCTTGTTTTCGGTGTGGGGGCCACTATTATGCTGTTTTTAGTGTGGGGGACGCGTCATGGATCGTTGAGTAGAGGGGGGGGTTGGATGAGGGCCCTACTGTTGCTTGCTTTGCCCCGCAAGTGTCTTGGTTTTAGTGTGGTTCCCCCAAGTGTCTTGTTTTCGGTGTGGGGGCCACTATTATGCTGTTTTTAGTGTGGGGGACGCGTCATGGATCGTTGAGTAGAGGGGGGGCTAGGTTTAGGGTCAGGGATAATTCTTGGTATTTTTGCCTTGTTTTTGTCATTGCCCCGCCCACCCCGCCTGGTCGGAGGGGGGAGAATACATGCACAATGCGGCCTTTTTCAGGCCGACTGTTTTTTTCTCGGGCGCTCATGCACGCGGGGTGGCGCATGCATAAAAAAAGAAGTTTCTTGCTAACAAAACTCCGAAGATTTCAACAAAAAAATCGAAAAGCAGATCGGACACGGTTAAGGGCCCGTACAAATTTAGGTACCCTAACTTATGATACAGAGGAAGTATCCATCTATCTTCTCTGGGCCCTTTTCCATGCTGATAATACCGCCGCTGTTTGAAAACATGTGACCGATACCCCGGTGTTGGCTGGCCGGCGGCAGGTCCTACGCGATCTGGGAGGACCCCATCCCGAAGCCATCGTACCTCTTCGCTCTCGTGGCCGGAGACCTTGGCTCGATCAAGTCGACCTTCGTCACCAAGTCCGGTCGCAAGGTGAAGAGCTGCGGTAGAGTAGAAAATGAGTCGGGTTTTTCAGCAGTACTCTGGGTACTGCCGGTCGTTTTTTCTCTCTCTTTGATGTGTGCGTGCATGGTGTTGGGCTCCATCCCGTCAAACTTGATGGGGGGGTCGGAGGAGGGTGTTGTTAGACGTTCTGACGCACGTCGCTCGTGTCGCCGTGGATGCGCATGCCGCAGAACTCGTCGCATGTCCTTGGAAGCGGTCCAGTGAACGACTCTGCACCAACGAGCTGTGGCGCGCAAATCGACAGCAGTGCCGTATGTACCAGCACCGACGTAAATCTCTTGCAATAGCCATCCCATTGATTTGGTGAACATTGCTACGACACCCCGCATGTTTTCGTCAACAAACCGTACAAGTAGCGACTCCGATATTCTCGTCGTTAATAAAGTTCACTGTTCATGCCTTCTCTCCACCTGCTGAGTGACCCCCCTCCTCTCCCACCTTTCACGCGCGTGCCTTCCCAAGTACAAGTGCCCACCTTGTCGTGTGCCATGCCTGCGACGGTGATGGGTGCGGCGCAATAAACCACTGAAATTGAAACCGTCGCCGACCTTGTTGTTCAGGTGAAGCTGGAGATCTTCTCCGAGAAGGAGAACGTCGATCAGCTCGACTGGGCGATGGAGTCCCTTAAGGTGGTTACGTCGCTCGCACTTGGTCGCTCCACGTGATCCACTTATACAACCAACCGCCACAACCGAAGCTGCTGCTGCTAGCTTACTTGGGTTTTGGTCTGCTGCCACATGCGTGCGCGTCGCCAAGGATGAGTTAGGCCTGTCCTCCATCGGCCGTTTTGCTTGTATGAGAATAAGAAGGTGGAATTACTTGAAATTAGTATAGAAATAAAGTTTGTGTATCTAAATCGAAAATAAAACGGCCGATGGAGGACAGGCCTAGGATGAGTTAGAACCATCCCAGGGGGCGGGGGCGGGTGGCTCTATTTTTCTCGGAACAATTCGTTGTTACGTTTTCCCCCCTCCACGCGATGGAAGATGCTGCGATTTGATTTTTTCGCCGGGTTGCGCGCCCCCCTCCCCCCCCCCCC